GCGAAAAACTGCGAAAAAATGGTGAAAAAATGGTGAAAAAACGGAATTTTTTTGGATTTTTTGGGGGTTTTATTTGGATATTTTGGGAAAAAATTGGGAAAATTAGGCAAAACAAAAATTGGGAAAATTTGGGGGAAAAAATTGGGAAAAAAATGGGGAAAATTGGGAAAAAAATGGGTGGAAATTGGGTGAAAATGGAATGAAATTGGGGTGAATACAACCGGGACTACGAGGGGCAGATTGCTGCCTACAGACAGGTGAGATTTGGGGAAAAAACACGGGAATTTGGGCAAAAAAAAATTGGGAAAAAATTTGGGAAAAATCGGTGAAAATTTGGTGAAAATCGGGCGAAAAACGGCTGAAAAATGAGCAAAAAATGAGCAAAAAATGGCACAAAAGTTGAATTTTTTTGAGTTTTTTTGGGTCAATTTTGGGGTAAAAATTGGGGGAAAATTGGGAAAAATTGGGAAAAAAGTTTGGGAAAATTTTGTGAAAATTTGGTGAAAATTCTGGAAAAATTGGGCAAAAAATTGGCAAAAAAAAGACCAAAAAAATTGAATTTATTTGGAATTTTGTTTGGATTTTTTGCCATTTTTTTGGGAATTTTTTTAGGAATTTTTTCTTCATTTTTTTAGGATTTTTTTGGGGAATTTTTTTGGGGGGTTTTGGGATTTTTGGGGTCACAAATTTTGGGTTTTTTTTTGGCAGAACCCGGAGCAGTCGGACGAGGATGAGGAGAAAAGTCGACGTGACTCCGAGGGTGAGCGGAAAATTCAGGAATTTCGGGAAAAAATTTGGGATTTTTGGGATAAATTTTGGAATTTTGGGGGATTTGGGCTCATTTGGGGATTTTTTGGTGAAGTTTTGGGTCATTTTTTTGGATTTTAGGAAAAATTTTGGAGATTTTGGGATAAACTTGGGGGATTTGGGGTCTTTTTTTGGGAGTTTTTGGGTCATTTTGGGTGATTTTGGGGTTTTTTGGGATAATTTTGGTGAAAATTTGGGGATTTTTTGGGTGATTTTGGGCAATTTTGGCATTTAGGAAAAAAATCAGGAATTTTGGGGTGAATTTGGGGGTTTTGGGGGCAATTTTGGGTGTTTTTGGGTAATTCCCTGGTTTTGGGATAATTTTGGGGTGATTTTGGGGGATTTTTGTTAATTGGGATCTTTTTTTTTGGAATTTTTGAGTTTTTGGGATAATTTTGGAATCATTTGGGATAATTTCGGGATAAATTGGGATAATTTCGGGATAAATTGGGATAATTTAATTTGGGGATAATTTGGGGATAATTTTGGGTAATTTTGGGGTTATTTGGAGTAATTTTGGGGTAATTTTGGGGTAATTTTTGGGTTTTTAGGGATTTTTTGGGGATGATTTTGGGCAATTTTGAGGTTTTGGGGTAATTTTGTGATAATTTTGGGGTTTTTTTGGGTGATTTTTGGGTGTTTTTTTGGTTTTTTCTGGCAATTTGATATTTTTGTGATAATTTATGGTAATTTGTGATAATTTATGATAATTTTGGGGTGAATTTTGGGTTTTTTTGTCCCAGGTTCGGGTTCCTCCTCGGGGGCCGAGGACGAGTCCGGAACGTTCCTGAAACGCCGCGATCGGGACGAGCCCCGGGGACGCTACAAAGTGAGAAAATGGGGAAAAAAA